AATCTGGCTCTAGTGGAAGTGAGCCAGAATCCCCATCATCTATACTACTTTCTCGATTTTGTGTGGATAGATTCCCTGGGGTCCCGAGACAATGATATAAACACAGTGAAATTCGGGGATGGAATGAGACTGGACTTCAGTCGCTCTGCTAGAGGGAAGTTAAGCAAACTGACAATTGAGATGTGGGTTTATGGCAGCATAGGGCTTTTGAAAGACATGACAAGTTGCAACGAGGTAGATACCACAGCTGTGATGGATTACCTGAAGTATATGCAGGACATATGTCGTCAAGCATAAAAATATATCTGGCCATCAATTCTCTTATATGGCCCGGAATATAGGGAGAAAGTGGAACAGGAAAACTTGCATTGGGCTACAACTTTTTCGAATGAATCTACTTCTGCGTTCTCTATGAACATGTTGTAACGGCTCTTCTTCAACAAGCAGAAGAAGATGATGAAGCCACTGTTTGAGTCCCACTTCTCAGCTATATCTCAGGGGATGGAGATGATTAGAAAGAAGGAGACAATGTTTGCTAAGAAGAGTCCCCCGGGCAAGAGGCTGCATTGGGGATCTGTTCAGACCACAGCCACAGCCATACGGCCTACCCCAGATACGGACCAGCCGGGTAGAAGCTAGATCTCTGCTTGGGTCCCGCAAGGCCTTCTTCCTCATCTAAGACACGTACCGTACGGGCACCACACGGACCCCATGGTAGCCCAGCAGACCGCATGGTCACCATCAACTGACGGAACCCAAGCCGACCGCTAAGACTGCATGGGACCATCTAGGGCCTACTGACCAAGACAGAGAATACATTAAGGGACAGCCTAGCAGTTTGATGGAGGACCATCACAAGCCGTACAGACCTTACTCATAGCGGAAACCTGGACACCAGCAGATGATGAACCGCATGGTGAACATGTTATGACGAACATCCACCCCTCCCGGGAGTTACCTATAATGATTCTGAGGCGGAATCGGACCTAGATGAAGAGGTAAATCAGTCTGACGATTCACCAAAGTGGGATTATACAGAGGGATACAGCTTTGTGGAACTCATTGCGGAGTTATATCACCTCATGCCTGTACTCAAACCTCCAGTGACAGAAAATCCACCATCAAAGATGCCGGAATTTGGACGATGTCATGCTCCTACATCATCTCAACATATCCACCAAACATTGCCATGGCCGAGTTATGGTGGTACATCAGGCTTCTGAAAGTCTACACAAGCTCAGACATGATGACTGGCTACACAGCTAGCCTTACCTGCATTGAAGCGGAAGTTGTTTAAAACCCATGAATCTCCACTTCCAAACCACCAAGTTTTGGATGAGGAATACTGAAGTCATGTTACCTTCTTCCTGGATTAAAGACCTGTCTATGACATCCAGACATTTGTGCATATATCAACTGGTTTGTGGCCGGTATCAGGGCACATCATTCCACCGTTGCAGACATCATATGATGGCATATCCGGAGAGACTCCTATGATTATTAGGACTGATCAGGTCGGACTCATCCACAGCCTGCTAGACACCATAGTCAGAATGCAGGAAGACTTACTCTCCACCCAAGTCTGGATATCTTCACAGCTACTCTGGGTACCGCGTCAAAAACTACTAGCACAGATTTGTTCAAGAGCTGTTTCCAACCAAACGAAAAGGTTGATAATGTCGCAACCGATATCTGCTCCCAAGATGTTCAATGGCAAATTGGGACATGTCATAGACAAGGTCAGACAAGATACAACCTTACGATTCCAGGTGTTGACAATAAACCTAGCTGTCAAGGCAGATGGATCTTCCTATCCCCCGAACGTTCCTGGGATCAGAAAGACTCGTCGTATAAACAGCCACCTAAGAAGAAGTTCATTCCAAACACCGAGTCAGAGGTACGAAAAACAACAGTCTTCTCAGGATTCGTTTCTTTAGCTCGACTACAAGAAACGAGGATCCTATCGCTGAGGCAGGTCCAGGGGCAGAGGTGAACACAGGTTTTGACTTCCTTGCCACCCATTCCGATGTTATAGACCCTTTTGACCCGGTGTTGTCTATGGACTGCAATTTACGCCTACGGTCTTTCAACATACCGGGGCCAGTGGGAGGGCGTCTTCTGTCATACACCGAAAATTGGAAACAGATTACGCCCGACCGCTGGGTCCATGATGTTGTGGCTCATGGATCCAAAGTGCATTTCAAGAGGCATCCCATCCTGGCATATCAACCTACAAGACGCCTATCTTCACGTCCCAATACACCCATCATCACAGAAGTACCTGCGCTTCACAATCAATGGTTGACGCTACAAGTTCCAGGTCTTACCATTTGGGATATCAATAGCCCCTTGGGTGTTTACCAGGATTAGGGCCCCAGTCATCAGGTTTGCCAACCTCCAGGTAGTACGAATGCATGGGTCTCTGGACGATTTCCTGGCAGCAGACCAAGAGGAAGCTCAGTTGCACCAGAACATGCTATTTCTGGTTCAGCTTATGACCTACCTAGGCTTCCTAGTCAATCCCTCAAAGTCCGAGACCACTCCAGTTCAAGATATTGTATACATTGGAGCGTGTTTCCAACTCCACAAGGGATATCTATGTCCACCAGAGGATCGATTCTTCAAGACTATTACGTTGATTCAATCCCTATCAATTCAACCCAGCAGGTCTCTGAGGTGGTGGATGTCTCTTCTAGGCAACCTAACGTCTTTACAGGATATGTACTTCAACATGACGGACTCTCAATTGGAAACCATCCCATTCTAAACAGACTAATGAGATCCTTCCTACTAGAAGATGTTCTGACAATCTGGGTAATGCAGAGGGCTGCAGTGTTGGGGAGTTCACATTCTCCGAAAAGTTCTCTGTGGGTTTGACTGTAGGCAGTGCTTCCTGGGAGAAGTCCCATTCACTGTCTGGGCTGCCAGGTCTTATACAGTTGAGTAGATTGGGGAGTAACTACAACAGAGTGGAGAAGCCAGTTATGTACATAATGCAGGTGATGTAAGATTACAATCCTAACAGGTGAAGTCAAAAGTATAAGACTAGAACTGATTGGAATCTTTGATGAGTGGATGGTAACACATTTGATTGATGAGCCTTTTGATGTGGATTGGTTCTTGGAATTTTCTGATTTTGAAATCTTTGAAGTTGTTTGTAAGGGATGTCACGGATATGGTCTGATAAAGCTAAGAGTCAACTTTGGAAACTCAGCTTTTATGTTCTTTTATTCAGGTTTTGAGGGTCCTTGATGTTTAACCAATATAAGCATTTACACAGAATGTGGTACACTGTCCCAAATAGTTCTTGCTGGTTGGTGTATAGTGGTTTTTGTTTGGCTTTTATTGTGTTTTGAAGGCTGTTACTTCTCTTGAAAACTACATCAATGAATAAAGACAAACCCCAGAAACCTATCATCATTGACCTAGCAGACAAAGGCAAGGCAAATTAACTGTCATCATGGATACCACCCACTTCAATGCCTAACTGACATCATCCTCAACAGTCATCCACCTACAAGCATCTCAAGAGGAACAACAGTCTGTGAACAATTCATGCACAATCATGACAGGTTTGCCGCAGGTTGAGTTCATTAGCAGTCAAAGAGGTACTCTCCAGGTCCTCTTTCAGGGATATCTCCACTACAAGAACAAAGTAAGACAAACTGGTACTCATTGGCGATGTACCGTTAAGACCTGCATTGGCAAATGTACAACAGGTGGAAATTTTGTTAGAAATTTCACTGTACACCACCACCCACCAGAAGACACCAGCAGAATCCAGTTCCTTGGCAGCTTAAGGAGGAGAGCAAGAGAAGAACCAACCACTCCTATGCCAGCCCTCTACAACGACGAGGTCTTGAGACATGATCCGGAGGCTGCAGCTATATTTCCCTCCTTCAGCTCAGACGGCGTGTTTCGGGGTGTTTCTTCCAGTGGATCCGACGAGCTGCTGCCTTGCCTCTGCTGCCTCTTCAACAGGTTCAGGATGCATGGATTGACTCCATGAACCAGTCTCCCGATGTACCGAATGCTGACGAATTTCAACGACAAACTGGGTGGATTATGAAGTCAGATTCCCTCTTTTGCTGTGGAACCATCAAGAAGTTTGAGAAATCTGAGAAGACCAAGCTATCTCAGTTAGACCTAGGTGCAGCTCCACCAGCAAGAAAGCGTGTGTACAAGGAGATTGACAATCGACTTTCCAGACTGAAGGATCAGCTATCCCAGGGTGTCAAGACACCACTCCAGTTCTTGGATGCTGTTGGCAAACTTCTGAAGATGGATTAAGGTTGTGTCAGTGTGACAACCTCGATGTGAACTGTGATGTGAACTGTGATATTAACTTTAACTGAACTCTAAGTGGCGAATATGTTAAAACAATGGATTTAAGGGATGGATGAATTAAAATGTTGAATGAAATAATGTAAAAGAGGGTATCAAGCATCTTGAGTCATTTCTTTTGTCTATAATAAGACAAGTCCATTTTCATGATAGGGGTTAATTACCTGATTATCATGTGCAACCAGGTATGACATTGTTGTTTTAATAAGGTGTCTCACAACTGGGCTGTCTTACTAATGGGAGGGAAACACAGGATGTGAGGTATTATTTGTTTTATCATGTAGGCTGGTTTGACAACTTGTTGCAGTGAATTCAGGAAATATGCTTCCTTACTTCTATTGTTTGTTGTTGGTCTGCAGGAATATATGCTTCATGAAACAATTGCGAGTGTGTGTCACTCACAGTTTTTGCTGTTCTTTCCTGCTTGCTCTACTTTCCAGATTTACAGTATATATCATCTCTTTAAAATAAAAAAAAGCTCAGAGATGTAAGGGGTTTCCCATACTTTTTACCAAGAATATCCTTGTCGGCACATTTATTAGCAAGCATCGATTATCATTTTCAAAACTTTCATTATTATTCTGCTTCAAATTATTTTCTCCTGTATCATGAGGACCTTCAATCCTGGTGAGCAAAAAAGATATGGGTAAACTCACAGTAACAATCCTGCCTGCACTGAAGCTGATACCATCTCCAACACTGTCTTGAAAATCAGCCACAGTTATGTAACTATCTGGTTGTTCTTGGATGTTGACATCACAAACTATGACAGTCTTGGTCTGAAACGAAGTACAATATCAGTGACATGTACATGCTTATGGTAACCATGACAGCACTGAAGATGTTTGCACCTGGGTCTACTGGTAAATGTTCAAGTTTTGCCTCAGTACATAAAGGCCGTGGCTATTGTGAAGTGAGTTCAGATTATGAGTGAGTTTGGCTGATTGCCACTTTCAACAGAATTTCAAATTCATGGCATGAGAGCTTGGTGTGTGAGGAACTATAACCAGGGTATTTTGGAAAAAGGTTAACTTAATATGTCGTTTATGAAATTCTATCAAGTTCTAGGTTAAAATATGAAATGGACATGGGAAGGGTGAATGTACTGGGAGGAGGTTATTGACTCTTTTCTCTTAGTGACAACTTCTCATCAGTAAAAGGGAATTAGCAGGATGAAGAGTTATTTTAGACAAGAAGAGTTTGACAGCATAAACTGAATCTGTCACTTGGGGAAATGGAAATTAGCTTCTATTGAAATAAGCGTATGAGTCATTTTATATGACTTTAAACATTATTTTGGTGGGAGGAGCTAAAATTATCATCGATAGTATCTTGTTAGCTGTCCGGGTGTGGTGCGGGGATTTGGAAACTCACGGCTGAACAGAGAGGTTCACTGTATATTGGACGTCCAGATCAGAAAACGTTAAGAGTTGATAAGAAGTACTATCAGACTCTTCGATGCATCTCTTAGGTGTTGTAAATGAATAAGTCAGGCTACAAGAAACCATCTGAGGACCTTGCGTGTATATTTATGTACAATTCCTTCATAAATAAATAGACTTGAGCAACCAAGCTGACTTGTACTTTTGAGAGAGCTACATCATTCCCAGAACCAAGGAGTGGTTGATCAGAACAAGTGACCAAGGGAGATACGTATAAAGGACTGTCAGAAATGCTAGAAAAATGCTCTTTCCCTGATGAAAAAGGATAGAATTTTTCACAGACTGTTGTTATTGAAATATCAAACAACTACTGATCGACCTACCTGTGGTTTGAAGTATTTCGGTCACAAGGAGTGCTATCGACAATTTTACAGGAGGAAAATTCAAATGAAAACAGCAAGTTTGGATTTATTCTAAGTCCAGTGATGGCAGTCTAAAACGAATTATAGAAATATGCGCATGTGACTCTGTTATAATGATAATAATGCAGTCTTACGAAAACACCTCATCAACACACAAAAAATCACATGGAGAAAATGCTAGATGTGCATCTTCAAAAATAACCAAGAAGCCTATAGGGCCTGTATCGCTCACCTGGATATTTATGCAATCATGACAAAATATACATTTGCACTGTACATGTATATAATACACCAAATATTTTGTAATTTTGACTCTGTCAGCATTGAAAATGGGTGGATGGCAAATCTGACAGCATGAACATGTATTTCTCTAGATACAAATGCAGCATAAAGATCTGAAGATTAAAGGTATTATTCTCTTCATAACAAACAAATGTATACAATGTATCTGTTTATTATAGAGTGGGGATAACAGCCGTTTGCATGTTATGGTCAAGCTTCTAACTCCTTTGGGAGTGCCGCACAGATGAACAGAAGGGCCAGTCCTGGTAGCATATGTGCATTCCACCGTATACACTAGGAAATGCATATAGATCGATATGGGAAACCATTTAGTAATTTAGATAGGGTGAATTACCGAACTGCCCAAGCTATGGGGTTTTCAATTCATTCCATCAAGTTTGCAGTATGATAAATAAAACTAAAAAGGTATAGGGGGTATCAAAAACAAAACCGGGACATAAAAGGATATTTGACACAGGGTGACTAGGTGTAAAGTGTACAAGCTTTATTAGCAGAAAGTACCCCCCAATTTTCAGGGGGAAATATTCCATCATGTCTATGAGGTCACATTATCTCCACACCATTCATAACTATCACATCCAGGGCTTCCATATCATTTACCTTGATGAATCATTCAACTGACCACATGTGGCTATTGGAGGATGGACAAAAAGCACCCACGGTACCATCAGGTAAAGGCAATATTGTCATTGTTTTGCACGCCACAACTCATGATCTGGGGTGTATTGATGGATGTGTGCTAGTTTTTTAGGTAAAAGGAAATTACAGGAGGAGATATGGTTGGAACATCAACCATTGCCCATTTCAAACAACCTCAGTATCATAGTCATGGATAATACCAGTTAATACAACATCCAGGAACCAGATACAGTCGCACCACATGAGTAGTCTGAAGGTGACCATTCAGGAATATATGACATTGTCGATGTGGGTTTCTAGAATTGAGGATGTCACCTAATCACCAGCACAGTTAGTGATCTAACCCATTCAGCCACCGAGGCTTCCACAAAAATGAAAGTCCGACAACTGGTAGTCTAGATCAGATACGGCCATGGGAGCCGTGCAAATTTACACTTGTCAGTGGGGTACACAAAGCATGTGATCTAGAATACCAGTTTAGTTTTTGAATTACTGTTCTGTCTTTCAATTCAGACATTTAGAGAGATGAACAGCAAATGCACTTGATGGACTTCTTAAATTTTTTGCACTTTCACAACTAATGAACAAAAGAATAAGAAAAAAGAGGGCATGTCATGGTAAGTGGTAAAGCATACATGCAAGTTATTAGTGTATTGCATAGAAGGAAGTGAATTAAAGCATGCCAGTTACCATGCCGTTGTATTGTGACTGGAGGGGAATACATGGATGCAGTGGTTAACATACTTACCTCAACAGAGTTTGGGCGTGGTGGTGGTGGTCTGAGACTCCCACCTGTTTTTAGAGATCTGGTCTTTTTAACTTCACTGTAGATCCCCTGTTTTGGACCCCCTGATATCACCTCAGCTGTGTGTCCATCATTCAAAGATATTCCATCTTCAGTTTGTATGAGTTTGCTGATATTTGACAATTTGCCTATTATCTCCACTTCACCAATTGGATCATTGTTGTTTATTTTACAGAGGTAAGCAGCTGGGACCCATCCCTCCTCACTTTGATGTCTGCAATATAGAAAACAACTAGTGCAACAACACTGTGGCTACATGTTCATAAAAATTCACTTCACCTTAGCTAAAAATGACAACAAAAACATTTGGTTCATGTCAGCATAAATATGAAGAAATGCAAATAACCAAACATCATTATTGTTTGTATAGTCAAACGCAAAAGTTGTTGTGACTTGGATGTTTTCACTGACAAACCTCTATGTGAATATTTGGATTTGGAGAAAATTTTATTGAAAAAGCTAAAAAAACAACAACCAATCAAATAATGCTGATAAAGCATGGTCTTTTTAAGAAATAACAAATATTCATTTGAAATTCCTTCAAATATTCTCAAATAAAGAATGAACAAGATGCCATTATTTCTGCTGAACACAAAATGAGGTGAGCTTGATGAACTCCATTAGGTATGGGTATATTATTGTCATAGCGACTGATTTACGATACCCATTGTCTGAAGAACATTTAATTGCAAAGGCTCATTTCCCTGGAGCCATGACATCTATATGCCTTGAAACACTTAATTGCTGTTATTTATAAGATGCTAATCCTAATTGTTAATCCCCATTTTTGTGTACATCGACCGTCTGCCATCCTGCTGATGAATTACTGTTTACATTTATATTTATTACTTACTAAATGTCAGGTGACCTTGGCCATATAAGCTTTGGTCCAGAGAGATTGAAAAGAGGAAAAAAGAAAGGCTTTACCCTTAGCCTAGCTAGGGTTAGGCCGGGTGCTCCGGGGCACCTAGACAACAACCACTACCACTATGTGCTGACCTGGCACATAGTGTCTTTTGTATGTATATATCTACATGTATAATGTAGAACTGTATATACCGCAAGCCGTCATCTCCAAGTTGTCACTTCCTACTGAGAACCATACGACGACCCCTTGCATATACGAGTATGCAAATTATTCATTAAACAACGTAAGACCACCACGCGTTGTTATTATTATGAGTTGTAGCAGGAGTTCATCAACTTCATATCTTTTTGTGTTCAGCAGAGACAATGACATCTTGTTCATTCTTAATCCATATATCTTATGTTTTTCACTATATATATATATATACAGTAATAATTAAATAAGTGGAGTAAGATTGAACACAGTTTTAATTGGCTAGCGCACGTACGAGTCTCATCAGGCCATAACTGAATAACAGACATGTAAGTCTGACATACATGTCCCTTATTCAGTTATGGCCTGATGAGACTCATACATGGTCAGAAAACAGAAATAGAAATGTAAGCTAATCGCAGATCTTGTAACATTATTTTGTCAATTTCATTACAGGAAATGCAGAAAACGCTAAAAGTTTGAGCGAGAAGAATAAGATTAAACACCAAACACAGGAAGTGACAGTATTTCAGAAGGATGTAATTTACCAATTATGTTCAGGCAGGTATGTATTTAGAAGACATCGTATTACACTAGTGGATTACACTATTAAACAATAAGGAATGAACTTCACAATTGTTTATGACATAAGCACCAGTAGGCCTACATTGCGTAATAACTTAAACTGATCACTGGAGCTAACAGAATGTTAAGGGTTTAATAGAAGATGGAGACTTCCGAAGGTTATAGGTGTGCATGGTGACTCTTAACTTCAGTCTACGGACATTTACAAGCGATCCCTATGCCGTTTGGCACACTCGTCACATTCCATAAGCTACAAGATACCGAGTGGTGAGGAATGAGCCAATATGGCACTAACTGAAAATGGTTCCAGTCGTCAAACTCACGGGTACGCATGAATGAACATGGTATTTAATAATTCGTCAATGATTTTTGTGACAGAAAAGTGTGGTAGGGAACACTGTAAAGATAATGTGGATCATACTCAGGAACGAGGTAGGCATAAGCATGGCTAGTGACGCAACAAGGTTGAGTCAGCTTCTGAATCATTACTGAACAAGCATGAAATACTCATATCCCCTGCCAATATGACATGTCTAGTTGTGGGCAATGCATTAGCTCCTGTGAACTATGTTGACTGGGCTTTTTGTGTAAATGGCCTAATTTGTTAAAAGTTATTACTGGTGTTGTTTCCCATCTGCAGTTTATGATAGAATATGTAACAGTATTTGGAATGAGTAAGGATGAGACAAATGGACAAAAAACTTTTTTATTACAATTAGGATCGATGATTTCGGTGTAGGTTCTAACACCGTTATCAAGCAAGTGGAGTACAGAGTATGGTTGACAAGAATATACAGGATAGGAGGTAGTGTTTATAAAGTTGAGTAGGTTTAAGATCAGTTACACTGTTGTATTTATAATAAGTTGTGTCTCTGCACAAAGTTAGTCAATGAATGCAACAAATGTGTCCATGACACTTTTGGAAGAACATACACACAAGCAATGCAGAACTTACCAACAAGAATGGAAATGTATTCAATACTGCGAGATGACATTATGTGCCAAGTTTGGTGAAGAAATATGGTACGGTTTTCAAGATCTGCTCCGGAAACGAGGACTACCGCCATTTTCAGTCTAAATCAAAGTTGTTGCTATGGAAACTCAAAAAATTATTTTTTTTAAATCCCAAACTATCAAAAGGCACCAGTTCACCACTAGACCTATCTATGTGCCAAGTTTGGTGAAGAAATATGGTTCTGTTTTCAAGATTTGCTCCGGAAACGAGGACAACCGCCAGTTTCCATCTAAGTCAAAGTCGTTGCCATGGAAACTAAAAAAATATTGTTTTTAAAAATCCCAAACTATCAAAAGGCACCAGTTCACCACTAGACCTATCTATGTGTCAAGTATGACGAAGAAATATGGTACATTTTTCAAGATCAACCGCCATTTTCAGTCTAAGCCAAAGTCGTTGCCATGGAAACTTGAAAAATAATTTCTTCAAAAATCCCAAACTATCAAAAAGCACCAGTTCACCACTAGTCCTATCTATGTGCCAAGTTTGGTGAATAAATATGGTACGGTTTTCAAGATCTGCTCCGGAAACGAGGACTACCGCCAGTGTCAGTCTAAATCAAAGTCGTTGCTATGGAAACTCAAAAAATAATTTTTTTTAAAATCCCAAACTATCAAAAGGTACCAGTTCACCACTAGACCTATCTATGTGACAAGTTTGGTGAATAAATATGGTACAGTTTTCAAGATCTGCTACGGAAACGAAATGTGACAGACGGACGGACGGACGGACGGACAGTTTCCAGTAGCCAAAATATTCGACGCTAAACCATTTCATCCTACTTTCTTGACGTTTCTGTATGAAGAATATTAGGAGCTGCTATAGAATCTATGATTGCCACTAAATGGGTACCTAACCCTAAAGATCGTAAAGGGGATCCAAGGGCTAAGGATTGAGTTCGGTAAAACCTACCCTAACTCCGGTGACATTGGATGTGTTTAGCACCAACATAATATACCCAATTGAAAAAATAGTATATGTATATTAGTTCCTGTTTTTAATCATTTTAGCCACTTGAATTAAGAAAAAAATGAAATAAAAAATATTGAATCACTCGGCTTATTTAACGATAGATGACTGAGCAGAGCTGATGCACACTCGATGACCCCTGACAAAATAAACAAAATACTACAAATCACGTGATGGGGGCTGATATCTGTGTGCATAAATGAAGAATGAAGGAAGAATGAAGGATATGGTTAAGGTTGGACTACATCTGAAAATAATTCACTGGGGACCAGGCCCCGCCCAACATCCCTAGGATGGTTCATGACTTGGGCACTCAGAGCTACTGTGTCCAATTGCAAAGAGAAGATTATTGTTTGACGAAGACTGTTAACTGTTAACAGGTTCCCTGCCTCCTGAATTTGTTGAAACTGAGTTCCAAGAATCTACACAAGCCTTGTTTGATTTAAACATCAAACAATAGTTATCATTGTGAATAATTCTAAGAAATACCACCATAGGTGTGAGGAAAACCCTATCACTTGCCATGTACGCTACTGCACATGCGCAAGGCGGGAATCTAGTCACTTCTTTTCAACCCATTATTCTCATCAACTAGATGCAGATATTTGGGGAGATGGGAGGGATTATTCCTGATGTGATAGAGGTGGTATTTCTTAGAATTATTCACAATGATAACTATTGTTTGATAATTCTTGCAAAATACTACACCTCTATCACATCATTGCCAGTATACACCAGAGGGACCGGTGGGTTCTGGTATCTAGCATCCCTTAGATATTTGGCTAGTGAAGTGGTAAAACTTAAGGATTATATGCCCCAAAAAGGGGTAAACGGCGGTGTCTAATGGTCTACTTACAAGACTAGACATATATAATTTTCAAATTTCGTCATATGAAGGTTATATAATATATACTCCCTTGTGATATTTAGACATATAATGACGTCATTCCATGTGATGAGTCATCTGTGACGTCACTTTCGTTGATGACGTCATGTGATGATGGTATGTGTCTTCCATTTCCATATCACAATGACGTAATTTACCGTTATTCCCTTTTTTGGATAGTGGTATTAACGTATCCTGAGGTTAGACCGGTGGGTTGTCTCCTATGACGTCACTTCCGGTGATAGCAATCATATTTGGCTACTGTATATCACTTAATCCTACGATCTATGATTTCAGTGTTGCCTGCCCTGAGCTTTGCACAGTAAGAAAGGTCAACTTACCCTGAGTTCATGAGGTACTTGGACCGGGAGGGGAACAAGGTTACTTGGCGACTATCACCTGGGCTGCCACCAGTGGTCCCAGAGTGTATAGTCCATCCAGATCGGTCTGTATGTCTCGTAAGTAAAAGTTTGAGAAAGTGTTGTGGGACTTCCACTGGCAACTTGCCACGACTTGTTCGATGTATACTGTGTTCCATGTGGCTAGACTTGTGGCGAGGGCTCTGATTTCGTGAGGCCTGTAGTTTCCCAAAATCGGAGTGGAGACTTGTGCCAGTTTATAACTTTCTGAGATTACTGATTTTAGCCATCCCGCTACAGTGCCCTTAGTGATGTCCTTTTCTGATAAGGGCTTGCAAGA